AATTCCATATTCCTCTAGAAAGGCTATCCCTTGGAATTATAGAGCTGATGTCTGCTACCCATAGCGTCAAGCAAGAACCGTTGGTTGTCGAAGATGAAAATATTGAAGTTAATGATCTTAACATTGACAATATTGCTGGGACTAGTAAGGTTACCAGAAGTGGAACAGTTTTCTCTCTAAAGATCTCTCTAAAGGTTGTTACTACACCAGTTCATATTATTACTACTACTGAATCAACTATTAAGACTCAAAGCAAAGAACATATGACTGAACCTACCCAGACTGAGGCATCGAAAGAGGTTACTGTTGAATATGCCTCCAAGCAAGAGATTCAGGAGGTACTAAAGATCATTCGAAAGAGTGACTATAAAATTGTTGAACAGTTGGGGAAAACCCCTTCCAAAATATCTATGATATCCCTGTTATTATGCTCTGAGGGCCATGCTCAGGCTTTGGTAAAGTTCCTAAAAAGTGCTCATGTATCGCATGATATCTCTGTTGATCAGTTCGAAAATTGTGTTGCTAACTTGACAATTGATAATGGGCTAGGCTTTTTTGACGTTGATTTAACTCCCAAGGAAGGAACCATAATAAGGCCCTGCATGTCTCTGTTGAGTGTAGGGGCACTACCTTATCTCATGTGTTGGTGTACACAGGTTCCTCATTGAACGTATTTCCAAAATCTGCTTTAGACAAACTTGGCTGTGAGGGGATTATGCTAAAACCCAGTGACATTGTGGTGAGAGCTTTTGATGGTTCAAAGAGAATGGTGCATAAAGAGGTTGATCTTCCAATAAAATTGGGTTCCCAAGTCTTTTCTCTACTTTATATGTGATGGACATTCGTCCAGCCTATTCCTGTTTGCTTGGACACCCTTGGATTCATGGGGAAGACACTGTTAATTCTACTTTACACCAAAAGTTAAAGTATCTCGTGAAAGGAAAAAGCGTTATAGTTTACAGCGAGAAGAATACATGATGAGCCATTTGAATTCCTTCGAGTATGTTGAGATGGATGGTGATTTCTTTGAGACTTCGTGCCATACCTTTGAAGTTAATCCTCAGAAAAATATTTTTGACAAAGTTTCTTCTACTGTTCCTAAGGTTACCAGGATTCCACCAAAAGGGGATTCCCTGAAAGATGCTAAGGTTGTGATTGAAGAAGGTGGTGGCACTGTTTGGGGTCAGCTTCCCGACATTCCTTACAAGTCCGACAAATTTAGTTTTGGTTTAACCTCACAGGCTCAGAGGGCTATTCGTCGTGCTCGTGCTAATTCTAGGATTTTCGCCATTCCGCCTCAACAACAATGGAGTTCACAACAATCAGGTTAACCTTGTGGAAGACGCTGATAGCGACTGCGACATAGATAGTTGGATCTTCCCTACTACCGCAGTGGGCTCAATATTTTGAAGACTGAAGACTTAATACCTATCTTCTTTAGTCAGGAGTAAATGTTATTTTAAGTTTTCGTACTTTCAAATTATTTGGTTATGTAATTTAAACAATAACTTTAAGCCTTGTGCCTTACCCTGGGCACAACGGTCCATTTGTTAGGGTTATCATTATTCATCAGCATATTTTCATTTAATAAATCATTGGACGTTTGCATTCAAATTTTTCGCTCTTTGTCTTTATTTTACTTTATTGCTTTCAAATAAGTTGTGTTCTTACATACACCCACACAACAAATTGCAGATCCATATCCACCCTGGATCCCATTGATAACAATTCTTCTATTTCCAACTAGGACTTCGAAAATCTAATCTACCAAGCCGAGGACGAAGGTGAGGAAGATTGTGAAATACCTAGAAAGATTGCTAGGCTGTTAATGCAAGAAGAAAGAGCCATACGACGGCATGAAGAGCCAGTCGAGGTTGTGAACTTGGGTATTGAAGAGGACAAGAAAGAAGTCAAGATAGGTGCCAACCTAGAAGATAGTGTCAAAAAGAAATTAATCCAAATATTGCATGACTATGTTGAGATCTTTGCTTGGTCGTACGAAGACATGTCAGGGCTTGATACTGACATTATGGTCCACCGTCTACCAATGAAGGAATGTTGTCCTCCTATAAAGGAGAAGGTTAGTCGCATGCGTCCCTAGATGTCGGAAAAGATCAAAGTTGAGGTTATGAAGCAATTCAATGCAGGTTTCTTAGTTGTTACGTACTATCCTCAATGGGTTTCAAATGTCGTTCCAGTACCTAAAAAATATAGCAAGGTGTGTATGTGTATAGACTACATGGATTTGAATAGGGCAAGCCCCAAAGATGACTTTCCACTTCCACATATTGATGTTCTGGTTGACAACACCGCTGAGCACAAAGTATTATCCTTCATGGATGGTTTCTCTGGTTATAATCAAATCAAGATGGCACCTGAAGACATGGAGAAGACTACTTTTGTGACATAGTGGGAAACTTTATGTTACAAGGTTATTCCTTTTGGTTTGAAGAACGTCGGTGCAACATATAAGCGTGATATGGTAGCTTTGTTCCATGACATGATCCATCATGAGATAGAGGTTTACGTTTACGACATGATTTCCAGATCTCAGACTGAAGAAGAACATCTTGACCACCTACACAAGTTGTTTGAGAGATTGAAGAAGTACAAATTGAGGTTGAATCGAAACAAGTGCACCTTTGGGGCAAGATCCGGTAAACTCTTAGGTATCATTGTTAGTGGTAAAGGTATTGAAGTTGATCCTGAAAAAGTTAAAGCCATTCAAGAAATGCCAACTCCCCGTAATGAGAAGGAATTCATAGCTTTCCTAGGAAGCTTGAAGTACATTGCTTGATTTATTTCCCATTTTACCGCTACCTGTGAGCCAATCTTTAAGTTACTAAAGAAAGATCAAGTAATGAAGTGGAACGACGATTATCAGATAGCCTTCGACAAAATTAAGGAGAATCTTCAGGAACCTCCGATACTGATGCCACTGGTTGAAGGGAGACCTTTTATTATATACATGATTGTATTAGAGAACTCAATGGGATGCATACTAGGGCAGCATGACGAGCCTGGTCAAAAATGGCAAGCAATATACTACCTTAGCAAAATGTTTATCGACTATGAAACAAGATACTCACTGCTCGAGAAAACATGTTGCGCTTTGGCATGGGATGCTCGCCGACTAAGAGAGTATATGTTGACTCATACTACCTTGTTGATCTCTAGGATGGATCCAATAAAATACATATTCGAGAAACCCGCTCTCTCCGGAAGAATAGCAAGATGGAAAATGGTCTAGACAGAATACGACATTCAGTACACTACTCAGAAGGCAATCAAAGGAAGTGTATTGGAGGATCGCTTGGCTCATCAAGCAGTGGATGACTATCAGTCTATGAATTTTGAGTTCCAGGATGAGAACATCATGATAATTAATGATTATGAAGAACCTAGACCGTATGAAGGACCTGAATCGGGATCCCGATGGACTATAGTTTTCGATGGAGCTTCCAACGCGCTTAGTAATGGAGTTAGTGTTGTGATTGTCTCTCTGTAATACGGTGGGAGAACTAACTTTTGGGTTTTGCATTTTATTCCAAATATTGCGGATAGCAAGAGTCGCCACCGACTTTTCTTTTATCCAATAAAGAAAAGGGTGAAAAGAACAGGAAAGACCTTTTTGAGAATTTTCTTGAGTTCAGGGGGTAGGTTATGAAAAGGGAATGTGTTAGCACCCTTTTCATCTATAGTTTTCTACGGGCTCTTTAATTTCTAGCTCACTTTGAAATGCTTTGTGTTTGTGTATGTTTGAAAATATTTTTAAAAATGCCTTAGTATGGAAATTTTGTAATGATTCTCGTATCGTTGAGAACGTATACAAAATGTTTGTTTTGAAAATATTTGTTGAAAGAAGGTGTTGTTTTTTAATGTGTTTTTGAAGATGCCAATGTAAGGCAATTTTCTTTATAATAACCCTTGTATCAGTCCTCAAGAGTGTTTATAAAATGTTTTGGAAGTAGTTGTTTTTGAAAGTATGAAGTGTGGAAATTGTTTAAGTTTGTGAGAAAGTGATTACGAGCGATCTACCTACTCAAAAAGTCTTTGTTATTTTCCTCCTCCTTTAAATAGTGCTATCCTACCATTAGTTAGTAGGAAGCCCTATCATTGGATGTTAGGGACAGGCGTGGGTCATCGTACAGTCATAGAATGCAACTTGTAGGAAGCTTTAGTAATTGTCATAAGGGACTAAGATAGTTTACCGAAGGCAACATCAAAGGGTCATCGAGGGAGTAATATATTTTAACTTAGGTTCTTTGCTAAGGCATCCCACATTCGAGGGATATGGCTGCTTAAATCCGAGACAACAAGTTAGGGTCACCCTAGAGGTGCACGTGTGCAAAGCATTTTGTTTTCAAGCATTTGTCTTGAGATTAGGTTTTCTAATGATTGATTTTAATCTTGCCATACAAATCCTAATTACTAACATTAATAAGGAAAGCAGTAAATTGCGGAAATTAAATGTTCTACGCTATGATAAATTAAATGTTCTCCTACATTGTTGTATGAATTCCAAATTAAGCTATAAAGAATCGTGAATATCTCAAAATATTTAAATGAAATATATCTCAAAAAATATAAAGGAATAATATACCTTAAATGCATTAAACCAATCTTTTCTTTCATCTTCAAGTACAAATCCATAACTCGGCCAAAATTTTGTATACTTCTCTTTAATAATGCCTGTTATGATCGATATTGCCTGATGGGGAAAGATCCTAAACACCAAATTCTTGAGTTAGAATTGATTAAATAAAACTCAAATTTAAAATAATATAAAACATATGTAAACCCTTACGATCCAGAGTCGGGCCAATGATAAGTTTGCCACGATAATATCTAACTTTTTACGGCTCATTTCTCCTCAAGATGTGCTCCCTCCTTGTTTTCTCCTTAGTAGCACTTGTATCTTCTTGAGAACTGGTTTCTCCAAGAGAACTAGAATCTCCGGGAGCATTGGTATCTCCATGATCATCCTCAGAAGGCATGGGTCAGGGCATGTTAGATCCACCTAACTCCATATGAATGGGTCCACTCGACTGCATGGAAGGCATAGGAAAATATGTACTGGGTCCAGTAGTAAAATATGGTGTGTATTCAGTAGGACTAATAAAAGTTGTCAGGGATATGGGCGAGAATGGTGTGCATCCAAGAGGTGTGGATAGTAATCCAGTGAAAGATGCAGACATAGGTGGAGAAGGATGCATAAGAGGTGGAGTAGGATGCATAGGAGGTGGAGTAGGATGCATAGTAGGTGGAGTAGGATGATTTGCCACTTGACTTGATTGTGGCATAGGAATAAACAAATTTGAATCAGGCACCTCCTCTATAATGTACCTGCTGCGAAGAGGCTTTTGATGGGAGGCATTTTTCTTGGGTGGAATTTTTTCTATTTGAAAGGAAAACATTAAACAATTAATGTTACATAAAAGATAATATTACACAAGATAATATATATTTGAAATATAATATTACACTAGATTATTTTAAAAGATAATATTACACACGAGTTATTACATAATATGAATTCAAATTATTCATCATCATAATCTTCATTGCCTTCATCAGATCTGAATTTATTATCTTCAGACTCTTCATGCTCTTCCTCCATAGGATTTGTTGACAATAAGATAGTTGCGTCCACTTGTTGACCCTCAACTTCAGTATCACACAAACTTATAATCTTCTTAGTTTCAATTACCTCATTAACAGGTGTTATCTCATCATCTTGGTATGCAACATATTCCATTACTTCGTCAGTATCAATGTGACCCATTGGGTTGGATTTGATTACAACACACCATCCTCGTTTGCATGGAGTAATTGAAAGATAAGGTACATAGTAAACTTTCCAGACATTGTGTGCCATTATGAAAGGGTCATGCTCTTTGTACTTTCTATCTATTCGAACCTTAACGGTGTTATATTTTTTTTATCAATTTTTTTCGTCTAGAAGATGGATCATACCAATCACAATAAAACAAGACAAATTTATTTTTCGAGTCTATATAATTATAGACCAACTCGTAAATATTTGTGATAACCCAATAGAAGTCGTCCTCGCCACTGTCTGTAACTCCTTTTATGACTACACCACTGTTTATAGTTTTCTTCCCTTCACTCCAAACCTCAGTGTGAAATGTGTAAAAGTTTACAAAGTATATGCGCCATTCATTCACACGTTGATGAGGGCCTTCAGACAAACTTCTCAAATGTATTATTTCAGGACTTAGTGCAACAATACATGATAATTGTTGCTTGAACCATGCTGTAAAATAGGTATGTATGTAACCAGTTGATGGTTGTTCGTCTGTGCTTTGATAATAGTAAGTACTAAATGCCCTATTTCAAAAAAAAATTTAGGTTACAGAAGGTTACAAGTCTTAACCAATAAAACTTATATACTTAATTAAATATACTTACTCAAGATATGGTTTAACTTCAACGTAGTTAATCAACACATGAACATGGGCAGATTGCATTTCTTTTTGAGAAAGCTAATGCTCACTCGTCTTCCTTGAGGGCCGGCCTGGACGACCAAAAATTGATAAGGTGAATTTACTTCTTTCATAGACGTGAACTTTGTTCCTTGTGATTCTTGGAGTTAACATCATGTGATTAAAATAATGAGAGCAAAAATGTGATGTTTCACGATGTAAATAATGTGCACAAATTGATCCTTCAACTCTTGCCTTATTTTTCACTGATTGCTTTGAATCACCCATGAATCATTCAAATGGATACATCCATCTATATTGAACAGGTCCACCTAGGAAATCTTCATAAGAAAGATGCAAAGGGAGATGATCCATAGAATCAAAGAAACCCGCGGAAAGATTTTCTTCAACTTGCACAGAATGTCAGGAATATTTCGGTCCAGTTTAATGATGTCGTATACTCTTAAAGTTGACGCACAAATGTCTCTAAAAATTGACTAATATCAGTTAGTGGACTAAGCACATTCTTAGGTAGTGAACTAAATACAATTGGAAGCAATCGTTCCATGAAAACTTGACAATCATGACTTTTCATTCCATTTATCTTCCCTGTTGAGGCGTCAACACATCTTGCCAAGTTAGAAGAATAACCATCAAGCATCCTCAAATAATTTAACCACTTATAGATTGATTTTGCTTATTTTGGAGTAAGAGTGTGTTGTACCCCAAAATTTTCCCTCTCACTTATCAGGGATTTCCTCACAAGATCTCTTTGACTCAAGACTGGATTAGGGTTTGACCAGCTCAAGACACCTCCTCATGCACTGATGACCAAAATTAGGGTCTGAGTTTGCACGAGGATTTTTGGACTATCAATGCTTCATATAACTTTAAATGATCATTATGGATCCCGAAGATTACTCATTCCAAGTTTCAAGCCTTGAACCACATTTTGGATTAGTCAATTGGACAGTTGACCTAAAAATCAACTCTATTGGGGAAAAAGTCAACCATGGCCAATCTATAGTCAAACTTCATAATTTTTTATCCACACCAACATCTTAGACCCATATGTATCATTTGATCAAGTTTGGACCATAATTCCTCAAGAAATTTGATCAAATCATCAAAAGGGCAAAATGGTCAAAATTAGGGTTTTGACTAAGAAAGGGCAATTTCTGATTTTTGACCTAGAAAATGGTCAATTGGTTTAAATCATGATCTCAAGAGTTCAATTGCATCATCTTTACCTAATGACATGGTTCAAAACATTGCAAATCCATTGGATTGACAAATGAATTTTTCATTCAACTGATCAAAAGTCAATTGTGCACTAAAAAGTCAAACTTTGACTTTTTGGTCAAATTCAAGTGCCAAGGATCATAATTAATCAAAAAAATGTCAAAATGTGAAAATTGTTCATCAATAAACCAAAGATTTAAGATTTGGATTTGAAAAGTTGAAAAATTCTAACTTAGAAAATTTTCTAAGTATAGAAGATTTCTTTTTTTTTCCTCAACTTTAAGCCAAATTATCACCATGATACAAGATGATCTAAAGGAAGTTCCCAACATGAAAGTTGTATATATCCATGAAATATATAACTTTTCTTCACACAATTTCTCCTAAGGATGTTTGGATCTCAAGATATAATTTTGTGAATACATGCTCATGAACTAAAATAACTTAGTGAAATTTTGCCCTAGTTAGGCAGGTTTTTGACCTGACTTCATGCCAATTTTTCACACAGTTCCAAGGGTAATCTTTGAAAGAAATTCCATGATGGGTTTTAGAGCACATTGCAAGTTTCCAAAATGTCGAAGAACTCCTTGAGATCATTCTTGAGTAGGGAGAATCAAAGAGATGAAGTTGGAAATTTCTCACTTTGATTTCAAGCCATTTCATGAAGAACAAAAATTCAAATCCTCAAGCATGATGAACAAATCTTGCTTTGCAGGCTCCTAACATGTTTCTCACTCCTTAATTAAATTTTTTCATAGATGTTGGAAGCTTTAAGACAAACATTAAATGCATTGTACAAGAACAAATCCATTTTTGGCACAAAGGTGCCATTTCCATTTTGATAAAGCACTACTTTTGCAACTTTCCACTCCTTGAGCCTTGCACTTATTTTCTTTGCACACAAGCAAATCCACAACAAAGAGAAACTCGCCTGAAGCCTCTACCAAACCAGACCATGCTTGTACAGCACTTAAGGACTTGTCTCCTCATTTTGCTTCAAAAGCAAGTTATAGAGCCAAAAGGCTATAACTCAAAAACCTGGTGTGGAATTGATCCAAAACATTTTCTTACTAATACACAAGTGTATTACAACCTAGAACAGGATTGCTGAGGCTCAAAAACTCTCCCAAACACACTCTCACTGAAATTCTGCCATAGCTTGACAATTTTGCACCTTACATAGCAATCTCAAAAACCACTCGTGCGTTTTGAGTTCTAACCATCTAAACACTCAACATACATCATATCTAAGTGTTCTAGATCCATGTTCCCTCACTGTAACTCCTCCTTCTCAATCTTCCATTTTTACATTTCAATCTTGCAGGTTGACCTGAGTAGGGAGATTCAGAGACTTTCAGGATAAAGTAAGGATTGGAACACACTCAGGGAGGTCCAGGCAAGTTAAACAGATCCTCAGGCCTTCTTAAAACTTGCCCAAACTCCATTCACGATCTCAACTGAAAGAGGTAAAAACTTAAACTTCTATCTCTTCATACAAGCATCCTTTGGTCCTGATTTGTGAAAGAAAAATGTAGACATCCTTGCATTAAAGCTAACCATATTAATAGATTTCATTTATATTAACTATGCATAGAGAATTTTTTATTTGAAATATCTGCAAAAATTAGGTTTCAAATTAGGGCAAGTAAAATTAGCTTTGATCTTTGATTGTTAGTTTACATGAATTATATGGTTGAAATCGTGGGAAGAAATACTATCACTTTCATGTTTGAAGTTTCCATTTTCATGGATAATTGAGAGAGATATAGGTGGTCCGGCCATGGCTCAAGGTTGAAGATGAAGTTGCCTTCAGGAGGCGTTTTATAATATATATTTATGCCTTTGCTTATATGAACGGATGTACAACCACCCTAGTGGTAAGGCAGCGCGCAAAAATGCCATAGGTCATGGGTTCGAGCCTTGACGCTGCCTTTTGCAATTTTTTTTCTCATTTTTCCATTTTTGCTAGCTTGCAGCGCATTGAGCTTCAGTTCTTGGGCCTTTTTGTTTTTTCTAACATGCTACCTATTGTTTGCTTGCAGCACCACTGGCGCATATATTTTATTATTCATTTTATTTTCATTTCTATTTTATTAAATGTATTTTTCCTTAATATCACAAATCATAAAAAATTTAAAAATGATAGATTTTATTTTGACTTATTTTATTCTTTTTTTTCAATAAAAAATTATTTTCTTTAGTTATATATTATCTATTTTATTAAATAACTTTGTAAATTAAATTAGGACTATTTTAATATCTATTTTTTTTCTTCACACCTATTAAACATATTATTTTAATATAAAAAGACCAAAAATATGTCATGATACCATATTTTATTTTCAAGACAAAAAATACAAAAATACTTACTTTTCTTAAAGAAATTTATTCCATTTTAATAAATTAGAATTAGGGTTTATTAAAAATCTTCTCTAAAAAATATTTTCCTTTCCTAATTAATTTTAGATAATCTTGATTTATTTATTAGGTTTAGGTTAAAGCTTTTTCACATAAAAAACCAAACAAAAATCTTTTTGCATTCATACATCTTTGCATATTTAATTTATCTTTTATATTATTTATTCCAATATTTGTATATATTCAATTTGATTGTAATAGATTAACTAGGTTTATATTATTGAAAATCTCTATTCATAAATTGTATTCCCCCCTCCCATAAATGTTGTAATAGCGTAGGACATTTAAATTTCGTAATTTATCGTGTTTATATAACATGCTAGTAATTAGGGTTTATATGGTAAGATAAAATCAACCAAATAGAAAACCCTAATCCAAGACAAAATCAAGCATGAAAATGACACACTTGCACACAAGCACCCTTAGGGTTACTCCACTTGGTTGTCTTATACAAAAAATGACCATATTACGCATGTAAGGTATCTTAGCAAAACAAACAAATACAAGATCATAGTCCCTCGATGACGCTATTCAAAGTTGCCTTACAAAAATGATCTTAGTCCCTCAAAAAATGCTAAGATACTTTGCAACATTGCTAATCATGGCTATACGATGACCCACGCCCGTCCCGTTTACATCCAAAGGTAGGGTTTCTTACCAAATCAATGGTAAGCCAACAATATCAAAGGAAAAGAAAATGAACAAGAAAGACATTTGAGTAGGTAGATTACTTTTAGTTACTTGCTCCATTTCAAAACAAATATCCTTGCAATTTTCAAAACAAACACACACACATTTCCAAACATCTTACAAAATTGAAAACATTTTCAAAAAGACAAACATCTTTGTATACAATTTTATGAACGAGAATCATTACAAAGATTGCCTAAACAATGGCCTCTTTTACAAAATACTTTCAAAAACCACACAAAGCACAATTTCAAACAAAAGCAAGTGATCTAGCAAGTAACTAAGAGCCCATGCAAAACCATGGATGAAAAGGGTGCTAATACCTTCCCTTTTCATAATCTACCCCCTGAACTCAAGAAACAATCTCAAAGGTCTTTCCTGTGCTTTTTTACCTTTCCTTTTGGATAAAAGAAAAGTCGGTGGCGACTCTTTCTAACCGCAACATTTGCGATAAAGCGCAAAATAATCAAGTCAGTTCTCTCACCGCATCACAGAGTGTAACAAGCCTTGGGTTTTAATAATTTTCCATTTGGTCTAGGTTTCAACTCCAATTCTCTTAGATTACATAAAATTTACATGTTTTTTCTAGCCTTCTCATTATCTTTTGTGTTCTCATTATCCATCATTGTGTTAAATACATTATCAAAAAAATTCTTCTTGATATGCATAACATCAAGATTATGTTGCAAAAAATT